TTGATTTTGGCTACGAAACAGCGTCTATGAAACTATTACAGTTCGCTTTTGTTGGACTTGACATTATATTGTGTTTCGTCTGGGAAAAAAGCACACATTCGGTTTCATTTTATTACATATTCACGAGATGTGAGGCCAGCAGAAAAAAGATCATTCGGGGGAAAAAAGCTGTAGTAATATACTACTTTTTGGGTACTTCGCTTCACTCACTGCGCATTGTCTTCATGCTGATATTGTTTCTCTTCGACTGTTTTGATTATGGCAAGCGGCTTGAGCCATATACATGACTTTACTTTTTACTGGAGCACCAAAGCGTGAAACACGGTTTGAGTGCTGATGTGTGACGTCAATACACAATTCGGTGACAAAACAAATTACTTTGGAAGCGAGCAAACGTTGGGAGCCATCGACCCGCCACTGTCAAAAATCGGTTACATATGCGTTGTTCGCGCGCAAACACATCACAAAATATGATTTTCATCCAGTTGCTTTGAATGTTATCATGCGTTGGGTTTGTACGAGCTGCCGAAAAATGTGCACTGGAAACTGATGCGCAATTTTCATTGTTGTTTGTGTAAACATACACACACACATGTGTGGAAAATGCAACATCAGCAAGATTACTAATAGTCCAGCCCAGCCCAACCAAGCATATCCAACGATTCAAAATATAAACAAAGCCAGGGATTTTTCTTCGTCTCTTTTCTGCTTCTGTTTGAACAGAGAAACGTAACAAAAACGAGATGAAATGCGCAAGTTGATTTTGAAAAAAGGTTTCGGATGGCAGGCAACAACCAAGAGAACGAGAATATTGCTATGAATAATAATAATAAATAAAGATAAACAGTTGAAATCCACATAAATGGCTTTATTGTGTGAGCGCATAATTTTATTGTTCGATGTGAAGCAAGACAAAGGAATGAAGAGAGAGAAGGAGTGAGTGAGAGCGAGAGGTAGAGTTGAATTGGATGTGAAACCGGAGTCGATCCATTGATGCTAACTCAGACTGTGTGAAAATCGATCTGTGAATTCGTTTCATCAACACTGCTCCTTTACATGGACATAATGCTGTGAAAATGGATCCGAGCTTCAATCGGATGGTCTGTCTCGTCAAATCATTTGGGCAATGCAAAAAAGAGACAAAGCGACGGACAGTCTATCAGTTGATATGATTGTAATCTCATTGTATTATTACATTTTTTCCCTCGAATTGAGTCCAATCTTCAATTCCATCCCGTCTAATGGGATTCACACGCTGCGCCAGCCGAGAGTTTCATTTAAGTTGTCGCATCTCAAGCGTTATCTATTTATTCCATCGCAATCATTCCATTTCTGCTTTGCGTAATGAACCGAAAAACAAAAACCGATTTGAAAATAAATTTGCGAAATCGAATACGCTGTTGCTATTTGTGTGATGAGCACTTTAAATAATTCACGCAGAAAATCGCTGCAAGAAAATTTCAATTCAAAACAAATTCGCGTGGAGATCTTACTTCGGATGCCTTCTACTGACTGTGTGGCAGACACAGTGAACAAGAGTGTGGGGCATGGGATTGAACGGGCAAAAGTTTTCAGACACAGTGTTTTCATTGCGAATCGCTAATGGGGTTTTGTCGAACTGTTTGTTATCCATGAAGATGAGTTGCAGTTCATGGCGTATGATACAATATTTATAAGTATACAAACAAACGGATTTCACGCAGCTTGATAAAGTTTTAAAATGCGCCCAGTACGCTTAGATGTTACACACAGAGTAATCAAGTGTGGTTGTTTGTTTTACGCCATTCCTTTACATATATAATATGATATATGTCGCCAAAGTTTCGTGTGCCTCATTTCAATATGACGATTCAAAGCTCTAGATTCTTAGACACGCTCATTGGAATTGACGCTTGCGTTCGTTTTAAACTCGCATTTCATCCATTTCATTTGCTCACTTTCGGAAATACAAGCGGAATCATTCTGAAATCCTCCTATTTACAAGAGGGAGGAAAAAAGAACGAAAATGCTACAATTTTCAATTTTCGTGCTGTTAAGCCGTGATTTTAAACTGAAGAGCTCTATGTTGGACGGATAGATAAAGTTTAATCTAATCGGATTTAAGCTTCCTGAACATCAACTAACATCGAATTAAACAAAACAGCGACGGAAAAAACGCCCAAACACAACACGTAATTTTACGTTAAACCAAAACGTTCACATTGAATGAAAATTGCAATCTCTTGAACTTCAACAGTGCAAATGCTAATTTCGCTGTATTTCGATTAGTATATTTAATTCACCAGCTCAATTCAATTGAATGGCAACTCTCCAATGGCGATGGAATGATCTAGCAAATCTTTTATCCGTAGAAAAGTAACCTAAATACCATTTATTTGCAGAAATGTTTGCATTTTTCCAGTTTGCGATGTGAGGCACTCACATATAACAAAAAAAAAACATTTGTACCTGCAATCTGTCCGAGCGTTCAATTATCCACATTTGAAAAACAACACGGCATTTTCATTGGAATGGACCATTCAACACAAATCCAAAAATGGAAAACCCTAGCCATTTTTCATGCGAGAAAAAATGAGCAAAGCCATTCCAACATTGTTTCGCAAGCAACTATTTTCATACAAAATTGTACGTGCCTTTCTATTTTGGCTTCCGTTCCACTTCCCTTTTTTTCTCTACCTTTGTGCACAAAGAAATATGTAATTTTCAGAACATATTTTCTAACACAAAACTATTTGAGATAAATAAAAGTTTTTCTCAGCTCAAATGCCACAACCAACAAATAGTATTATTTTACATGGCTTGAATACTATTTTTCTATCCATCAGATTCCGAAAAAAAATCCCGTTCCGTTTTTATCACATTGCACAAAAAACATGCCTTTTGACTTCACGTTTCTGTTGGCCAGCACAAAAAATGCATAATTATCATGGCTGAGATAATGTACAACGTTGAATCGGTTTAGACTCTATGTTTGTTGAATTTTGACCGATACGAATTTTGCACGAACACTGCTCTTGACTTTTGGCATTTTAAGTTTAATTGAGGATTTTCCACATTGGATTTGTTGCCAAGTGGCATTTGAGGGATATCGTATCACTGATGCGATTTCTACAGATTCACTCGGATCTCCGAAGAATCATCACAAAATGATATAAAATTAATTCAATCACTTGCATTCAGGGTTATTTCAAACGTATAACATTCGAAATGGCCCACTTTTTTTGTTTAAAAAGAAGAAATACTAAATTCTGAACAAATTGAATTCTGGTCGAATCCGAATATTAAATATTTATGCAAATTTTGAATTGAAGTCCTTTTTAATGAAGAATTCTTGTTTATCCACTCAACGTGGTATTTTTATTGTCAAGACTTCTAGAGAAAATATCACAGGAAAAATATATTTAATCATTCATAGCATAAGCCATGCAGCTGTGGAACTATGCATAATGTTCTGAAATGTGGTTGATTTTATATTTTACATGTTTTAGCCCCATCAAAATCAGTTTCTTATTTAAATAAATAATCACTTCATCGAAATATGTTTTCAACATTTATCGCGTCCAACAGTGTTTATTGTAGGAAGCGATAAAAAACAAAGGTCATTCACAAAGGGTTGGACACAAATTCTACTCGGTGCTACTCGGTGCCATTTGGTTCAGTGTAATGTGTTGTATACACAGAGAACTGTCAAAGTCAACTGAGTGTTTTGAGTAGTTTCGAGTTTACATTTAAAATGCATAGATGTACTCGGAACTACTCGGTGCAAAATGAGACAAATTCGTCAAAACTTGTACGTTAGAAAACTGTGTCTATCCCCTTGGTCATTCAAATTGTTGAAATGGTTCACGATTCCATTTTAACAAGTCAACTTGTATTCACATGTATTCATCAACGAATTAATTCATGATTAAAACAATGCAACAGTCAAAACCATAGCAACTCAAAAAAGTGCAAATAAGTTAATTATAAAAGAAAGGGGAAAAGCATTCAAAAGTGTAAATGGTTTTATTTCTGTTAAAAAGATATTTTGAATGTTACAATATTTTGTATTCACTACATTTATTCAATCAGATTGAAAAGCATCACTCGTAGAATTTGCTGTTTGACTAATTTTTTCGTGTTGATGTTGTTATTTCGATAATTTCGAAACATTTGAAAACTGTGCGTTGATATCAAAACTAGTGAATGTGAAGAGAAATTTTTAATTTACTATCAAAAAAGTGTTCGTTTTGTGTTGAATGCTGATAAAGTTTCAGTCTCGTCGTATTTTCTCAAGGAGGAAACGAAGCGAGCGAATGAAACAAATGTAACGAAAAGAAATTTCTCGGAATTTGGAGCTTTTGAAACGCATCCTCGTCTAATACCATTGATTTTACATGTAACATAACAACAAGAAACGACAAAAGTGACCTCTCGTAGCGGCACAGTTGAAACTAACGAAACAAACACAATTCAACATGTCACTTTCATGTTCAGTGTTGGTTCTGTTGTTTGTCGTATAGCCGGAGAGAGATGTCTACAGCTTAGTGGCGTTGAATGACATTCAACATCTATGTCGAAACGAAAGCAAAATGATAAAGAGTGATATGAAATGTTCTTGAAAAGCGAAAAAGAATTTGATAGATAAAAAGTTGCTTGACTTAAGTCTCCAATTGGATGAGGGTAGAGAACTTGAAGAGCAAGAGTACTGAATGGCAAAGAAAGAGGTAGATTAAAATTTCGTTTTCTTGACGCACTGAATGATATGAACAAGTTTTCTGCTAAATATAACAATGGAAAAGAATAAATCTTTCCGTTTTTTGTGCCAAAACTTTGACACTGATTACGCAGAGTTTAACCAAATTTAATTTCGCTTCCTTAAGCGAATGAAGTGTATCAAGTTTTTCGTATCGTCCATAATCTTTTGGCAAAGTCTAGTGTGTTAACAACACATGAACATTCATCTACATGAATCAAATGAAAAAGTTAGAAATATTTGTGTGTTTTTTTTTCAGTCTTACAATGCTTCGTATCCATATCATTCAGCAATGATGGCTACGCGATCGATTGCATGGTTTCTGGTCGTATACGTACGGCATGAAATGGTAATACGATTCATTTGGTTGGAACTTACCTGGAAAAGAGGGAGAGAGAAAAAAGAACAAATTAGCTAGGGTCATTTAACTCGAAAGAAATGCGTTTTATGTGAATAATATGCGCTATAACGCATAGTATGTATGTGCCACGAATCGAAGTATGTGCCGATTTATTCGTACTATGCGTATTTCACGGCATTTACGTGGTGCCCATTCGCTGTGTATTATCACGAATACTGCACATAGACGAGCTATACTGCGAATAATTTTGCATAAATCTTACTAAAATGTTCCCTTCTGTGATTGGTCACACGCCGAAATATCGACTATTTCGAATTCGAAATTGCAACGGCTTTTTTCACGTGAGAATACAAGAAATACCTACATAATTGCAAGTGACGTTGATATAAATGAAAACTAAAAACCAATTTTTTCTTCTTTCTATTTTTTTGTTCTATTCATTAGAACTATCAGATTTCATATTAAAAATTAAATTGTTTTTCAGTTCACATCTTCTTTGCTCTTCCTTTGCCATTAATTTTATGTTGAGTGGTAAATTTCGCGTCAATGAGGAAATCATAATTTCCAAGTAAAAAGCGTATAATCGTATCAACGAAGGGGAAACACATCAAATAAAATTTAGATGGGAATTTCGCATGTCTCTGATACATGATTACGATTTCAGTATCAAATTGCGCTATTAAACTGCTGAGAAAATATATATTTGAGCAATCATTTTGGAATCTGCAGCAAATCTCAAGTTGAATTGCTGAAAGAATCAATCAAATGAAAGGCAACGAACAACAACAGGAAAAAATCTCTCGCTCCCGAAATGTGCGACTGTACCGCTTGCATCGTTCTAATTATACCAACTTCTCATCGATTCAACCGCAGAATAAAAGTATTGATGACAATAGCGCGTGCAGGCATTAGTCAATAAAATCCAAAACTTTTCCATTTTTCCTTTCATTACCAATTCTCTTTCATCGCCCCCAACCATGCTCTTAGCCGCAAACTTTTAATTTAATCAATAAGCTAAGGAGCTAACACATACCCGTTCACAAAACGCTAGCAACTCGCTCTAAGTGGATGGAGATTGGGGTGCATTATGGTTGCTAACCAGAAATCGTTTTTCAAAAACATAAAAGACTAGACTTTTGATGGTTTGATAACGAGAATGGAACAAAGGCTGTGGGAAAATTGGCGGAATGCTAACATGGAATGTTGACTTGTGTGCGATATGCGTGTACTTGGCATAAAAGCACAGCAAGATGGTTTTTCTTCGCCTTTCAAGCGAAAAAAACATTCTTCCATTTCTACAATATCGTAGGCATAAATGGCAGCGCCTCATTGTGAAGCGCAGCACGTTATTAAATATTCAAGACATACAATTTTCAAAGCTTGATGATTTCCTTCTTCTTCTTCTACTTCTTCTTTATAAATTGTTTGGAATACTTGGGAAAAGACCGAAAATTTGTTACATTGCAAAAATCTAATTTGCAAATACCGTGAAAGAAGGCTCCAAATGAGGATATAATGTTTTGGATGAAATTTTAGAAGCAAAAGTTGTCGCATCAAACGAAATCTTCTACTCTGAACTGTGTTGTTGTTGTCAAATGGGTTATCATTCTGTTGTTGGTGCTATTTTTTTGGTTCTTAATTCCACTTAAAAAAAAACGCTCGATGGAAAAAACCCTTGAATTAAGCATCAGTAGTCGCATTGAGTTTTGCTCTTCCACTTATTTATTTGCATTTCGCTCTAGTATGTCGACTGTGTGCGTGAATTTTTTTCCATTTTTTCCAACCGCCTTTTGTTGTTGGCATTGTGATTATTATTATCTCCATTCAGTTGTCGCCCTCTCTGTTATTCATTTATTTCGAATGAAATAAAGAAACACATTTACAGCTCTTTCCTCTTATATATATTTTTTTATTGCTATAATGCTGTATACCGTTTCAACAAGGCAACTAGCAATAAAAGATCCCCGGGAGATAATAAAATCTGATACAGCTGCGTATGGCCTGCCTCTGTCGCAATGTTCGAAAGAGTATAAAAACTTGTTTTATGCAATATAAACACGCAGGCAGGAAAAGTGTGTGACGAAAAGAATCGGGTTGATGTATGTGCCTTTTGAAGCGCTCTATCTTTCATTTTTCAGCCACTAAAAGTTCATGGCATTTCGCCCACTTTATTAATGAAACTTTATTCGTATGTATGTGTGTTTGGTCCACTAAAATTATCCAAAAACATGAGCAAATAAAAATAGTTTTTTTTAGTAATGAATGAATTTGTCGTTAGAACGATTTATGAACTGACGCATGAATGTCGTCGCAATAATGAATAAAAAAGGTGAAACAATAACGTTTCTTGCAAAGCGCAAAAACTAATTAGTACAATGCTCGGTCAGATGCTTTCGAAACCATTGTGAACAGCGGACAACATAATAGAAGTTTGCTTAATGGTTTAATCGATTTTTCTTCGCTAATATACAAAAGCGGATTTCACGATAAATCCAAAGATGATCTAAGAATAAAATAAAAGCGTTACAATCAAATGAGCATTCTGCTCGATCAATCCGAAATGCCATCTACTTCAACGTAATGGATTACACTTAAGCTCTATTTTACGCATTTGCACTAAACTAATGAAAATATTTCATTACGGAATTATGTCCAGTTTTCGATTGTGTACAATTTTCATGCTGAAAACGTACGTGAAGAAAATATGCTAGAATTCCTGTTACAATGCGTTGAATGCTGGAGAGTATTGTGTAGCCCGTTCAAAATGCAATTAATCTTCGCTATTTGTTTTGCCCGATTGCTTTTAAATTGAAATCATATAACGAGTATTGTAGGCGTAAATTCCCTTTTCCAACCACCATTTCGTATTATATTTTCGGTTGTAAGAATTGGTTGATTGTTTGTGGCCATTTGTGTGCACGCTGCACGGTAAAAGCACTAAAAGGCTCATATAAATAGATGCAATTATTCTGTGTGCTCAGTTGTGTGCAGACAGAGTGCATTGTGCCAAAAAGCGTCCAGGAAATTGAATAACGCTACTCAGTTGGAACTAATACTTTCTAAAAGTGAGCTTGTTGGTGTGAGTTGGTGTGAATTGGTGTGTGTGTGTGTCTGTGAAATTTGATAGAAAATCTTTTCCATTCTCTCATTCACATGAAACCGAGCGATAAAATAGGTGTATGCTGAGCACAAGTTGCAATCATTTACTTCAACCACTTTCTAAAGAGCATAATGCAATGAAGCTGCACTTGCTTCATACTTGAAACTGGTTAGCTCAATAACTCGACCCGATATATATAACTACATTGTATATTTTCCATCAGGTTCAGTGAACCAATTCTGGTAAGCCATTTATTGCAAGTGACATAATGTTTTGGTATGGCAGAGAGGGAGAAAAATCACATGTTTTCGTTGATTTAGATGTTTGTTGTTCAGTTTTCTTCATTCATTCATTCGAAAATTTTGCAAACCACCATTCATGAAAATGCTGAACCATCTTCTACATTCGCACCAGCAAACGTCTTTCTCGTTTGCAATTGAAGTGTTTGTGTGAAGCAAAGCATCGGGCGAATGCACATTTTTCGTAAGGTAACACTCTCGATGTCGAGATGGAGAGAGAGAGGCAACGAAGAAAAATGCCGGTGAAAAATAATCGACTAATGTGACAGATGAAGTGGAAAAACAGCATCAAAAAAGAAAATCACCGGAGCAATGTACACACAAAATTTTCGAGAAAAAGAGAGGAGAGAATGAATGAGAAGAAAACTGGGCCACGCCTAATACCGTTTCGTGTGGGATGAAAAGAATTTTTCGTTCGTCAAGTGTTTTTATACGCCAAAAGAGGAAAATAAGTGTGGAATTTGCATTTTGCAATGTATTACAATTTGAAATTCTTTGAAGCACACACGTTTACGTTAATGTTTGCCGAGTAAAAAAGTGTGTGTTCGATATCAGAAGAAAAAAAAAACGGAGAGAGAGAGAGCGAGAAAAAATGCGGCCGTGTCTTATGTGTCGGGCCCATTTTCAACGTAATTATTCGGATGACGAATGAATTTCCTCCTAAGCACTTTCAAAACTTCCTTTGTTTTCATGAAAAAACTTCGCTCACTCTCTCTCTCCCTCTGGCACGAGAGAAATGTTAGTACCGTGATTTGCTAAAATCACTCTATATATCACATATATGAAAAAGTCGGTGTCAACTTCGCTTTTTATGTCTCGTACTTGTGATTTATACGGACTTAATGAGCTTCTTTATGGGGTAGAGTGGAAAAAAGATTTGCAAGATGCTGGAGCTGTAATTACATTTCATGTGTACGAGAAACGTAATTCAAGCGTCGCTCCACTCGAGCTGGATGAGTGCGAACGCGCTGTCTCGCTCGTTCTTCGTCTAACCAACGACGGAGAAAAAAGTGTAAAGGAAAAACAATCGGCTGAAATGAAACTCACAAAGTACTTGCGTATTTTGTTCGGCGTTCGGGGCGCGAATATTTATTATATGATTTGAATTTGTTTTTGACATTCTATATCCGGTGAACACAACGAGCGCATTCAACCAAGCGAGAAAAGACGCCAGCAACACAGAAAGTCAACACATATACAGGCCAAGTAAAAAAGCACCAGCAGCACAGCATTTGCCATCCAGAGTAAGATCTACTTTATAACCATGTGGAATATTATAAAAATAATGTGCGTGTGTGTGTACACTGTACAGTACAGGGTTTTTGCATGTATGTGTACATAAATATAGAGTGAGTGAAGCTGCAGCAGTGGCAGCAGCAACATTCAAACATATGGCATGTGTTTGTGTTTTTGATTCGGGGCTCTAATTACTTTGACGATGACGACGACGACGACGACGACGACGACGACGACGACGACGAACTTGGAGTTAATTTATAAAATTATTGAATAATTAATTATAATGAACAAATCGTAGCCGTGCAAGGGGTTCTAGATCTGTTCATTCTTCCGACAACATCCGCTCGATGTGACTGGATTCTGTGATATTCTCTGTGTG